CACACACACACACACACACACACACACACACACACTGCAGTAACCAAGCTCATCGGGCTCAGTCTGTTTCCATGGAAACAAGCTAGTCTCTCTGCAACAGACTATCAACAACAAAGGAAAGAATAAAGATGGAGGAGCTTTGATTAAAACCAATAAAGAACATTTAACATGTCATTTTTTCTTACATATAAATAAAACACCTACATTATTAACTGCAGTGGCTGTTTTGTTTTAATAAATATGAAGATGTTTGGAGCAGGGCGGTCCACAATCTATGGGCTCCAGCTTGAAAAGGACCGCCCCCCCTCGGGTCTTCAACCTGGTTTTTAGGACCCTTCAGGAGGTTTTGGCCTGAGGACCGAAGTTGCAGCCAGAAGACTAAGGAGTCAGCGTTTTTGTAATATATGGAGGGGCCTGTTCTTTAAGAGCTCTGTAAGTCAAGACTAAAATTTAAAAWTCAATTCTGAATTTGACAGGTAGTCAATGTAAAGAGGATAAAACGGGTGTGATGTGTCCTTCAGTTAGTACCTGCTAAAAGCCTCGCTGCAGCCTTCTGTCCCGACTGGAAACGAGTGACTTCAGATTTGTTTAAAAAAAGAGTTACAAAAGTATAAACGAGAAGAGCTAATCGTGCTGCTGGAACTGTTAGACTCTGTGGGTCAGGACTAATATTAGAGTTAGACTCATTTAGGCAGAGCGTTATTACGAAACGAGGAAGTGAAAGAGTGGCCACAGTTACTGCTAATGCCTCTTTTTGTTGCAGAACATGTTTTGGCAAAAGCAGATCCGATTTAATAAAAGGCATCAGTGGATCATGACTTGGCGACAATCAGCAGCCATTTTTATCCTTTTACTTTTGTGCATTTTAGACTTTGTAATTATATTTGTTATATTACATTTTAAATTAATGGTTCCCTTTCAGTCAATTCACTAGGTACAACACATCATGTATGGGAAACCACGCCCCTGCGTGTCCTGGCTGAAGCCACCTCTAATCACGCCTTTAGGCAGGTGACGTGATGACGACAGATGTCAGACTCCGCCTGCACATATATATACTGTCGCATCACTGTCACTCCTTAGTTCTATTGCTCTTCACCTCGCAAGAACACCCACCTCTTCCAACCTAGCTAGTTAGCTGCTGCTAATTAGCTTTGTTTGTTCGAAGGTTCTCGGGTTTAGTTTAACGGCTTTTGTTGGTGTCAGCTGCAGCTGCCTACTGGTAACTGTGTCTGCCCGCGGAGCGCTAACTTTGAGAAACCTTTCTTACCTCGACGAAAGAGAGAATTCTGTGGTTCGGGATGAGCACAAAATTACTCAAGAAGAAGCAGAAGTCTTCAGTTCGCCCCTGTCCCCGTGTTAAACACTGATGTTGGAAACAAAGCAGCCGTGGTTTTGAGAGAGGATATAAACACGCTACTGGCGAAAGGAGCCATACGTGTGGTCCCCTCTTTGGACATAAACAAAGGTTGGTACGGCCGTTATTTTGTCGTTACGAAAAAAGACGGCGGCCTCCGTCCGATTTTAGACCTGAGGATGTTAAACAAGTTTCTACAAACATACAGGTTCAAAATGCTAACAGGCAGCTTCTGCATTCAGTCAGCCCGGGCGACTGGTTTGCGACCGTCGATTTAACAGATGCTTACTTCCATGTAGCGATTCACCCGGACCACAGAAAATTTCTGAGGTTTGCGTTTGAAGGCGTGGCATACGAATACCTGGTGCTACCATTCGGTCTGTCGCTGGCACCCCGCACCTTTTCAAAATGTGTCGAAGCGGCGCTATCTCCTCTCAAGGAGAAAGGAGTTCGCCTGTTAGCGTACCTAGACGACTGGGCTCTGATAGCCAGCTCCAAGGAGCAGGCTACAGAGCATCTGTCTCAGGTCTTGTCGCACATTCAGGCTCTGGGTTTTTCTGTAAATTTTCAGAAAAGCTTATTGACTCCGAGTCAGCAGTTTTCTTTCCTCGGGTTAGAAATATGCTCCCTGTCGGGCAGAGCGCGTCTCTCAGAAAACAGAGCAGCTACGTTAAACCGCTGCCTCACTCGGTTTCAACTGGAACACAAACTGCGTTTTCAGACCATTCTGCAACTGTTAGGCCTGATGGCCTCGATGATCGCAGTAGTTCCACTCGGGCTGCTAAAAATGCGCCGGTTTCAGCGCTGGTCCCGCTCTCACCGTGTGCATTACGTCACCGCCACAGAAAGCTAACGATAACTGCCTCATGCATGAAGGCTCTCAG